ATGGTGAGGAGAGTCCTAATGAGAATGAGAGGGCTTGGACATTAGCCTAAAAAGTCCCGTGGTTTTCTCCCTTTCGGGTTTCCACGTAAAAACTGAGTGTTCATACATATATCTACTATATCGTGTTGGATTAAACTCAACAGAAACCTTCATCAACTCTTCTTCCACAGCAAGGAGCATAGGCAAGGATATTGACTATTATTGCAGGATAGTAACTTGCATAGTCCCATACTCCAGAACTTATTAGCATAGTCTTGCAACTTGATTTGAATGTACTTGGTAGTATCAAACCCCATCGTCACTCGTGTCCTATCCTTCGATTCATACTGTTTCATCCCGTTGAGATTTGCAGCTAGGCATTTTGCACTTCTGAGCCAGTTTGGCAATAACAAACCATCATCCCCAACATCATATAAGTCTGAGAGTAGGTCTGGACTCGGGCCGGGCGGCCCGAACCAGAACCGGCCCGGTCACTGTTTGAACCGGCTCGGCCCGGCGGCCCGGCGGCCCGGCGGCCCGGCCCATGGCGGTTCTGGTCGAACCGGCCCGGTGGCTACCGGTTCCGGGCTAGGGCCCTCATTTTGGTGAACCGACCCGGCCGGTTCGGGCCGAATTTAATTTTTTTTTTTTTTTTTTGAATTTTTTTTTAAGTTTTTGGGTTGAGCTGAGTATTTTGGGCCATTTGAGATGGTTTGGGGTGGTTGGGGGTTAAATAGGAGAAGCCAAAAAAGAAAAAAAAAATAATAAAGACCGGGTGGCCCGGCCCGGAACCGGAACCGGTGGCCACCGGTTCGGGCTCGGGCCTAGGATTTCTGAACCGAGGCCCGGCCGGGCCAGGTCCGAACCGGGCTCGAACCGGGCCGAGGCCACCCCTATCTGAGAGTGCAACCCCCATGCTCTACAGAGAAATTCTCAGAGATATATCAAGAAACATCTGCAAGCTTTATTGAATAGAGAACAGTAACAATGGCTGAAGCCCCCAAAAGAGAGAGATATTAAATCTCTAACTTCCCAATCCGAAAGACAGAAGTCCAATGATTTATTTTAGGTACTCCCTCCATCCCCGAAAGAAGTTTACCATTTGACTTTCACACACTTTTATATAAGTAAACTTACCGGGGGTAAATTTTACTATTTTGACACTATTTCGACACTGTTTGTCACTGTTTGACACTGTTTTGCACTGTTTGGCACTGTTTTGATGTAGATAACTTTCCATTTAAGGAAACATGAACTCAAATTAGGGGCATCCAAATAAGGAAAGTGAGAACTTCTTTCGGAGACGGAGGGAGTATATATGTTTTATAGCAGCAATATGAATAGCCTCTTAACAAAACATGTTAGAATATTAGGATGTTTTTACTTAAAATATTGGAACATGAATAATATCTTGTGGTTTCAGTCTCCGATCAGATCAAACTTTGACATTTATAAAATATACATACACCAGACATCTACGGTCTGCACGGACGACGCCACATATGTAGCCATGGTGTCAATTGACACCACTCAAATATTTTTTGTAATTATATATGTAAGGATATATTTTTTAAAAATTAACTTGACACCACATTTATGAACGAAATGAAGGTCAAAGTATAAATTTATATGATATAATTACATATTTATAAAAATGTCATCTTTTGTAAAAAAAAGCCACATTTATTTGAAAATGTCATAAAGATCATATTTTACGCTTTGAAAATATCCAGTTTTCTTTTCAAAATTGACATCACGATGACATTTTTTCTCAACTTAATTGGCAATTTTTTCTGGCGACTGGGGGGTGGCAGTGCCAGAAGGTGGTTGAGGTGGTGATTGAGGTCTGTATATTTTTATTTTTTGTACAATTCTTTTATTTAAATTTTTTCTTTATGCTTTGTAATGATTATTTAAAAAATCCTATTAGAAAGGACATGGGAAAGAGCCGTCAATAAACCTGCCAAGCAAAATATTTAAGCTTCGGTGAGATATGCATATCCCATAATCGAGCCCAGTTAGTTCTGTCCGCTGTCTGCAATTCCCCTATAAGCAAGCGGTAACAACTCTTAACAGAAAACCTCCCATTAATCTCCCCATTCCACCAGTACTCATCCTTCCACCAGTACACAAATGTTCCTGTCAGGTATACCTGACCGGAGCCGCCGTACCGAACACCACGTTTGGAGGGTCTTTCCGGTGGAATTTTTTAATGAAAATTTTTTAGCATGTTTTTCATCAAGTCTAGTATATCCATACCAAATTTCAAAAAAAAATCAATTGGGAAGACAGTCAAATGAGTTTTGGAAGATAACTGCATTTTATACGTATATATATAAAGGGTGCAATAATTTTCCAAAAATCACTTGAATGTCTTCCCGATTGAAGTTTTTGTTTGAAATTTGGTATGGATATACTACACTTGATGAATAACATGCTCAAAAAAATTCATTGAAAATTTTCACCGGAAAAGCCCTCAAAACGTGGTGGCCGGACGGCGGCTCCGGTCAGGTATACCTGACCGGAAGATCACTCAGTATAGTAATTATATATCTTGTCGTAGTTCTATAAATATGTTTAATTTCAATAATATTTTGTACACCTAAATTTATTTATTCAACTATATTAATCTTAGATGTAATAAAATCCGATCATGTTAACAAAATCCGATCATGGTCCTAACTCTTCAAGCATCAAATTAGACATTTGAAGATCTAGCAATTACATCTCTGCCTTCTGTGATGTCAATTGAAGTAAGAGAGAAAGGCCGCCTCGCATACAAACCGCAACACTGTCTGAAACTTGATCCAAAATGATGAGATCTCCAAACGGAACTTGCATATTAGGTAGGGGCGGCCTTAGGATATTAGAGGCCATAGGCAAAAAACGCATAAAATTATATTAATGTGATTTATTTAAGAAAATATCCTAAAATGACAATAAATGCTCCATGTGAGAAACAAAGCTTCAAATGGTTTCTCAACTTATTTTTTCTTTGTAAAAAATAAGTTGAAGCCGGGTTACGGTGTCCAACTGTGCGCTAACCTAGATCCCACAAAGGGTGTTGGTCGATTAAGACTGCAGGACGGTGGTCATAGAAGTCGAAATCCGCTAAGGAGTGTGTAACAACTCACCTATTAAACATATTAAACATATTTCTAAATAATACGTAGTAATTAATAAAAAAACCATCAACAAAAACCTAAAATCAACAACTACTTAATTAAAATTTACAGTTGTAATATCAATTACAATTATAAGTTATTAATGTAAAAACTAATAATAATAATAATAATAATAATAATATCTCCATTTGAAATTCAATCAATTATGGCTTAGTTATTGTAATGATTAATGAGTCGACTCTTGAATCTAAACTCCGAAAATCCAAATTTCCCGGGTAATTGCTAATTGCAGAAGGAAGTGAAAAGTTGGTCAAAGTCTGAAGTTAATATGCAAAACCTAAAACGAATTAAGTAATACTTATGCGTGGGGCTAGAAGAGTAGAAGGCTACGATGGAACTTTGGATTTTGGAAGAACAGGGCCACAGAGCTAGGAAGCAATAAAAGGGAGAAAAAGATTCAATAAATAGGAGTAAATGAAGTAGGAAAAATTGAAAATAATAATCCCAACTATTGCCGGTCCGTTGATAATAATCATAACTATTGATTATTTTTGTATAATCCCAATTATATGGACCATCCGCCAATAATGGTCCATGATTAGATATTACCTCCTATATAACAAGTGAATTTTAAATAGAAAGTAAATGTAAAAATTAAGAGTTGAGATTATTTATAGAGATTACTTGATATATCTCTTCTCATCCACTTTAGAAACTACAAGAATTTATTTATAGAGACTATTATTGGCGGAAGATCCCTAAAGTTGGGATTATTCTGAAATAATTGATAGTTGGGATTATTAAAAGCGGACCGCCAATAGTTGGGATTATTATTATCAATTTTTCCAATGAAGTATGAAATTCCAAAAAAGGACTACTATGTTTTTCTTCCCGATATAGAAGTTATTACTGTTATGTATAAACAATATTGTCATGATTGAAAAATACTGTCATTAATTATAATAAATATTGTCATATAAAATGCACTGTATTATAACTATTTGACAGTTACGTTTACAAAATGACAGTAAATACTGACATATTAGTCATATTTCGAGAATAAAAACATAGTAGTCCTATTTTGGAATTTCAAACATCATTTACTCCCATTTTGGGAAATCTCCCATAAAAATTGGAATTGCAAAGATTCACAAATTAGAATATTGGCAGCATAATTGGGAGTTTGCGGGCCTTCCCTCCTTGGGGCTTTGGGCGAAGCCTGGCTGACTGGCTCTATACTGACTACTAAGAAGATCAAATTAATTTTAATACTACTAATATAAAAATAAATTGAGGCCCCTCTTGATTGAGAGGCCCTAGGCACATGCCTAGCCAAACTCCCCTCATGGCCGCCTCTGATATTAGGATATCATATGCGTGGAATGATGTTAAGGTGGGGCTGGACGCCTGGAAGGGTGACGGAGGTACGGCAAATTTTAACGGGTACGGCAAATTTTAACGGGTACGGCAAATTTTAACGGAAATATAGGGAAACACGCGATAATACGAAGAGAGTACAACGTGTAAAAAATAGTGTACCACTAATTATTGCTGCAAGATACCACCAACACTTTTTTGTACCCAAAAAGCCCCTAACCTTCATTGGGCTTTATAAGATTTTAGATTATTATTATTATTATTATTATTATTATTATTATTATTATTATTATTATTATTATTATTATTATTATTATTATTATTATTATTATTATTATTATTATTATTATTATTATTATTATTATTATTATTATTATTATTATTATTATTATTATTATTATTATTATTATTATTATTATTATTATTATTATTATTATTATTATTATTATTAGGCCCGTTTCTTATTAATACTCCCCCCTAAACATCCACCTTTCCCTCAAGCCTCAAGTTGGGTGATAGGAAACATCCAAAATCTTCACCCTCCCTTCATCCTAGCACCCCTCCCTTTCAAATACTTGATTGATTGATGGACCTTTACCTTTGCTACTTCTATCTTCTTCCATATGTATTTCGCAGCAGAATTACACAGACGCCAGAGCATTTTATCCAAAAATTTGATTCCTTCAGATTCTGTGGAGGCTAAGGCACAGCCTGCGGCAACATAGAGGACAACAACTTTTGGATTTTGAACACCTTCTTCTTCAATATCCATAGATAACCCATGATAGTTCAGTACCTTTCCTTCTCCATTCTTATTTACCAGGCTCTTTATCTCCTTATATGTTCCCTGTTGATTTAATGAAGGATCTCCTTGTATAATTACTTTCTGCCCATGTACCTCCCATTTATTTGATGGTCTGATTTTGGAAGTTAGTCTTCGTATCTCCAAGCTTGTCAACCATTCCATGCCCAACACCATATGTGTTCCCTTCATATCTGCCATTGTTAGTCATTTGATTTCCATTACTTATCTGTAAAGAATATCCTTCTATCATATGGTATGATAACTCCCATTTTCTCACTAACTCTTGAGAGATGAAGTTATGGGTTGCGCCATTGTCAATAAGGACTTCAACCCTTAGTTCTCCAGATTCCCACTTCAATACTCCTTTCATCTTGAAGGTTTTCATGCTTCAAATCCCTTCCTTATTTCTTGAGTACAATTGCATAGTTTTGAATTCCATTTTCGTTCCTTCTTCCACCTTTGTATCCTTCTTACCATATTCAGACTCTTCTTCTCCTTCAGAATCCTGCATAAGAACAAATTTGTAGTCCTTCATTTTGCAAATATGACCTCGATTCCAATTTTCCCCACATTTGAAACATAACCCCTTCCTACTCATCTCCTGCAGTTCGTTTTGTGTTAATCTGAGACTTATCTTCTTTTGAACAGAATTGGTTGATTCCTGCACCTTCTTGTCATTTGGCTTACTTTCATTGATGATCTTGCCAGAACTTGTAGTAGTATTAGGACTACTCCTCAATCTACTGCTATCTCCCCAATTTTGATGATGATCTTTATTCTTCTCTTGATCATGGCTTCATTGTTCTTATTTTCGATTAGCCGTTCTTTATCCATCACCTTAGCCAGAGTTATGGTAGTGTGTAGCTTCAATTCAGCCTTTATGATCGTGACGTATTGATCAATTCGGTCGACGAAAGTTTTCTGTCTTCCTTTAGAATAACCTTCAATCGAATCCGTCTCCTTAACTAAAACAACGAAAATTGAAAGCTGACATGTTATCTCCTCCCCTCCGAAATTGCCTTGACGACTAGGTGACAGAAATTTGCAACATCTTTCATATTGATGTCGACACTTCAGCTAGCAAAGGGAACATCATCCGTCGTTGAAGATGACAAGATGAGTTGTGTGAACTTGGTCAATATCCTGCAAAAATGTTAAATAGCATTATGTTTGTCGTTTGTACTATCTCCTTGTGTTGGAGCATGTGCTTCAGTTGTGTAGTTTTGTATTTTTTGTTGTACGTGTGTTGTCATATATGTTTTGGTTGCACGTGCGTTGTCATATATGTGTTGGTTGCACGTGCATTGTCACATACGTGTGTAGGTTTTGGCCAAAACGTATTGTATGGGCTCTGTTAGGACTGTGATCCATGATATTCTTATGGGCAGCCTAACCCTTCCCATTAAATTCTGTAAGCCCCCGCGTCAATTGTGTTTTGACGTGTTGTAATAAGGCTTCGTTTGATGTAAGTCCCCCGTCAATTGTGTTTTGACATGTTGTAAGGCTTTGTTTGATGTATATTGGGACATTATCTCGTCAATTATCAACGGTTCCTGGGCAAAAAATAATTCATTAACGTAGGTTGAAGCCAACGGCTCTCCGACGCTCAAGTTAGTGATCGTTCATATGTGAATGAAAGTAATAAATTACGAATACATATATGAAACATAATAGAAATCTCATGTCTATCTTGTCATGAGAGTGACTCATCACGACAGTGATTCGTGACAGAAGTGACTCGTCACGGAAGTGATGACATTATGACAATATGTAAAAGAAAGTAATAAACTAAAAATGAAACAATTTTAAGGGTACCGTATTGCAGGTCTTTTAGAACCTGTCTCTCATCGGACGACATGCCCCCCGTCCAACGATTTCAATCATCTTTTCTTGTCCATCTTGTCATGACGTGACGACTTGTTCATTTGATCTTGAATAGGATTTCCTGTGCCTCCCGTCATCAAAACTTTGAAGAAATCTGTTTGCTTCATCAAATGAAGGCGATTGTGACATGATCCTGCCTTTGATGTTTTGAGCCCGTAAATAATTTGACACTATTTCCTCTATCAACCCCGTCAACCGTCAATTTTGTCAAATGCACCAATGTGATGTCTCCATTGACTTCAAGACCCAACACGTCCCTGACGTGCACTTGTCGTGAGGTGCACTCAAAATAATAATCAATACAACACTAATACGTAGTATAGTGAAGTAAGGTTCGTATCCACAGGGAAAGGAATACTTTTCTTCTTACAGAAATAGATGAGTAACAATAAGGGGGGTTTATATTTGGTTGATGAGATTTAAATTATATTTAAACACGAAGATGAACGAGTTATGTGATTTAATTAATGAGAAGAAGACTTGGTTTTCCTTTTATCCACTTAATGAAATGTTCGTCGATCCCGGTTATATCTTTAACTATCTTCCTCTCGAATACTCAGTCGAGGAGTATATCCAATTCATCGAGGGTAGTTATTAATAACGAGACGCGTTCATTAATAAAACTTACTACCGAGTCAATATAGAACACGCGCCGTATATTTACTTGATAGTAGCAATAAAATCAAGATGAAAACGATTGAGATTGATAACCTCAACACAAGCGGTTTATCGGTTTAATCAATATAATTAATTCCCCTTGGCTTACTAACCATGAGACGCATGCATTAGCAACCCAAGTTTACTACCGTGAAAGGACCGAGTTAATAACAAGCGTATTAATCGACCGATTCTAGTATTAATCAATATATGAAACAAAGCTAGTTGATCCTTTAAGTATTGCTCAAAATATTAATATGTAATAGGAATAGGAAATAATTAATACTCAAGGAAGAAGATCAAAGAAAATAACTCACAACTTACAATTCATTAAGCTTCAAAGTAGCAAAACCAAGATGGAAGAGTTTAGCTCCTCATTTGGAGACTAAACATGATAAAAATATAAAGAAAGAACTTGTCTAAACTGAGCTTAGAAGTATATAGGAATTGGTGCTTTTATGGGAAGGAAATGGGGTGTATTTATAGGCTTTTGGGAGCTGCAGGGCTGTGTACCCGATCGGGTATATAGGATACCCGATCGGGTATCTTAGGAAATTGCCCAGAAACTGAAAAATAGGGTCATACCCGATCGGGTCTGTCGGTCACCCGATCGGGTATGACAATCGAACATGGCCAAAATCTTTCCCGCATGTTGCTCGGTTCCCGGGTTGATCCGATTTGATTTTTTAGAAGGGTACCCGATCGGGTATAGGTCATACCCGACCGGGTACAGACCAAAAACGAAATCTCCACTTTTTGTCTTGCATTTTTGCACTTTCCTTCCACTTGTGGTGTTCACCAATGGTCCCCAAAGTGTTCTTGGACCTGTTTGAGCTCAGAATAAACCTAATCTAAACATATTACAAATATTTTACAAACTAAACTATTACACCAAAAGTGTGTAATTTCCGAAGTAACACTCACTCTAAACTAATTAAAAACACAAATTTACACATGGAAATTACATGAATGTCAACTCCCCCACACTTAGCTTCTTTACTCGTCCTCGAGTAAAGTCAAATGTTTAACAGTTCCAAGTCCTCAAGAGTTCAACAATCAACAAGAAAAAGCAAAAGACCACCAAGGATAAAACATGAGTTTTACATTGAATGTTTAGCTCAACGAACAATATCTTCTTGGGTTTTATGGCCTTCTATGCTCATCTCTTTTCTTCTCCTCTTTTCATGTTCAAGAGATTAAATGATGTCCTATAAAAACAAATATCTCTCTCATATCTCTCATTTTGCCTAGGAGCCTTTTCAGGTTTTCATCCTAGCATCTCTTTTTATTTTCCATCCTTTCCACTCAGTCATTTTTTTTAAAGCCATTTTTGCTTAGATTGCCCATTTTTGGGTTTTCAACCTAACTAGCATTTCTTTTCTTTTCCTTTTTTTTTGATTTTTTTTTATTTTTTTTTTTTGAAGAAAATGATGTTAGTTACAAGGTATCAAACTTAAGTACGTACCAATGAGTGACTCCCCCTCACTTAGCTCGAAGCACTGTCCCTAGTGCTTGTCTCCGTCATACTCGGGATGAAACAGACATCCTCGTAGCCTTGAATTGTCCCCTTGCATTTGAACTTTCGGCCCTATCCCTCTTCGGTGCCATTGATGCCCTTTTGACGCTTTGAAATTCGGACTTGGTGTTTTTGGGGTAGGGTTTCGGATTTTTGGGGAGGGGGAGAGATGGTGTAATTGGTGGGTATGATGTGGAGAGGAGAGTGAGGGAAGTGTTTGGTGGTGGGTTGAGGGAATTTGGTTGAGTGATGATGGAGATATGGAAGGAAAAGGGTCAAAAATGGTGGGTTTGGGAGAGAGAAATCGGACATTGGGGTTTGGGGAAGAAGTGACTTGAATTGGGTCTGATTTGGGGTAAAAAGCTCAAGTACCCGATCGGGTGGTTTGATATACCCGATCGGGTAATTTAATTCGAAGGATTTTTTAGCTTTCCAGATTAATTCACCCGACCGGGTGACTCGAATACCCGACCGGGTATTATGTCGTTGTTTTTTTTTTTCTGCTCCAGGGGTTCTCACCGATCGAGTTTGGGGGTACTTGATCGGGGAATTTAATTCGAAGGAAAAAATTTTAAATTTCCGTAATATACCCGATCGGGCCTTATGGGTACCCGCTCGGGTACCCTCTTGAAAATTTTCTTACTTCTCGATCGGGTTTCCTCGAAGCCCTGCCTTTTCATACGTACCCGATCGGGTATAGCAATGGTGCCCGATCGGGTACCCTACCCTGGGACGTGTTTTTGTCCAGTTTTAACCTCTTTTTAGTGCGGATCCGATCGGTTAAGTGATGAAGACCGATCGGAGGTTTTCCCAGGCTTTCAAAACATGGTTTTCCCTCATTTTTCTTTTGAGAATTTTCCCCATTCTCTCAAAGTTGATATTCAAAAACAAAAATTTTAAAAAGAAAAGATGAAAGATGCGTACCTAAGCATGGGTTGCCTCCCAAGAAGCGCTTTAGTTAACGTCGCGGCACGACATTATTATTATTTTTTTATTGTTTTTATGTGGGATCGTGAATATCCCCTGTTTCATTCTTTTTCTTCAGCCTTTTCCAGTAAGGCCGAGATTTCTTCTTTGTTATCACCTCAAACACAAGTGATTTACTTTCGTATTTAGGTGCCTCTTCTTTCAAAATAGATTTTTCTTGTTTAATTCTTTCCTTAAAAAGTGAGGTCTCCTTGGCTTGTTTTCCAACAAAAACGTTTGGTGTTTGTGGTTCAAAAACATTTAGAGAACAAAGAGATTGGTCTTTAAATTGTTTTTTCGTAGAATCAAAGATGTTGAATTCTACCTTTTGGTCATCAAACTCCAATGTTAATGAACCATTAGACACGTCTATTTTTGTTTGGGCGGTTTTTAAGAAAGGTCTCCTCAAAAGGATGGGTGTAGTTTGGTTATCGGCTTCCATTTCAAGAATATAGAAATCAACAGGGAAGACCAAATTTTCAACTTGTACTAGCACGTCCTCTACTACACCCTTTGGGTATGTGCAAGACCTATCTGCCAATTGGATTACCACCCCGGTTTCATGCATAGGGCCAAGTTTTAGGGACTTGTATAATGAATATGGAATAACATTGATTGAAGCCCCTAAATCCAACAAGGCCCTAGGAAATAAAGTGTCCCCTATTTTGCATGGGATAGTGAACATGCCTGGGTCATTGCATTTTTCCGGGAGTTTCCTCTGGAAAATTGCTGAGACACGTTCACTAACCTTTACCTCTTGTTTTGCCTTCAATTTATCTTTCCTTTTTATTGTGCATAGTTCTTTTAAAAACTTTGCATAACGGGGAACACTTTTGATCAATTTGAAGAGTGGGATGTTTACCTCAGAATCGGCGAAGGTCTCGTAGAGGTCCCGATCATTCTTCAGCTTTCTTGTGTCCTTCAGTGCTTCGGGGAATGGAGGAAGTGGCTCATATGATGAAAGTGGAGGGGATTTAGTTTTCGTTGGTTCCCCCTCGTTTGGTTGAAAATCTTCTCCAGGATCAACCCCATTTTCAGATTGTTTTTCTTCCTCATGCACCTCTTTCAATGTTGGCTCATCCCTCAACATGATTGCATTAACATGTTGTCTCGGGTTTTGCTCCGTTTGAGATGGGAGTTTACCCGAGTCTTTTGCCTCAAGTCGGCTCACCGCAATTGAGATCTGGCTCATTTGATTTTCCAAGTTTTGGATGCTAGATTTCGTTGTTTCTTGGAATTGAGCCACACTTTGTTGCATCGTTGAAATATTTGTAGCAAGTGCTCGGATCATGTCTTCGGTGGACATATTTGAGCTTGAGGTTTGGCCTTGGTGATTTGGGAAGGATTGTTGAAAGGGCTGATTATGTTGTGTTTGAGGGTTCCCATATCTCAAATTCGGGTGATCTCTCCACCCGAGGTTGTAAGTGTTAGAGTGTGGATCGTACCTCTTTTGTTGATGAGATTGAAAACCCAAGGCATTGACTTGCTCTTCTTGGAGATTTGGGCAAGAATCGGTTGGATGCCCCTGTTGTGTGCATATGCCGCAGACCTTGACCTCTTGGGTTCTAGGATTTAAGAGAAAATCCTTAACTAAAGAAGTCAAGCCGGCAACTTGACTCTCCAAAGATGAAGATGATTCCGTCGCGGCAACTTTACGGGTTGAGGATCTTCCGTTGTAATGCCTAGAGTTCTCTGCCAACTCCGAGAGGAGATTTCTTGCTTGAGAAGGGGTTTTGTTAACAATGCCCCCTCCGCATGCCGCATTCACCATTCTCCTATCGTGTTCCGCAAGACCATCATAGAAGTAGAGGATGAGGTCTTGTTCCGTGTATCCATGGTATGGGCAACTGGCACAAAGCTTTTTGAAGCGCTCCCAATATTCGTAAAGTGATTCATCATCACCTTGTTCGATGTTGCTGATTTGCTTCTTTAGAGATGATGAAATGGAAGCGGGATAATACCTTTCCAAGAAGCATTTTTTCATGGCCGCCCATGTGTCTATACTTCCCGAAGGAAGATAGAAAAGCCAATCTTTTGCGGTGTCCTTCAAGGAGAATGGAAAAGCTCTGAGCTTGATTTGCTCCTCCGTGACTCCGTTGGGGCACATGCTCGTGCATACAATGTGGAACTCTGACAGATGTTTGTTCGGATCTTCCCCCCTTAAGCCATGGAAGGATGGCAAAAGATGAATGAGCCCTGATTTTAGCTCAAATGTATTACCCTCGTTGAGTGTAGGGAAGGTAATACATAACGGCTGTTGATTCAAGTTCGGAGCTGTGAGCTCCCTTAACGTTCTTGTTTCGAGAGCCATAGTTGTTGGTTCTTCAGGCTCGCTAGAATAAGAGCTAGCACTTGATGAATCTCCCGAGTCGGTATTTGAGAATTTATTTTTCAACCGCTCGAGAGTTTGCTCTATTTCGGGGTTTGATTGGTAGGTGATTTCGTTCAGTGAACGATATTTTACCATATACTTCACAAAGCTCAGAAATAGAAGAATAAGAACTCTTTATATTTTTATTTAATTATATTTTTTTTTTTAAAACAAAATAAAAAGAAAAATAATTGCTTTTCCCCGGCAACGGCGCCAAATTTGACGTGCACTTTGTCGTGAGGTGCACTCACAGTAATAATACAATACAACACAAATACGTAGTATAGTGAAGTAAGGTTCGTATCCACAGGGAAAGGAATACTTTTCTTCTTACAGAAATAGATGAGTAACAATAAGGGGGGTTTATATTTGGTTGATGAGATTTAAATTATATTTAAACACGAAGATGAACGAGTTATGTGATTTAATTAATGAGAAGAAGACTTGGTTTTGCTTTTATCCACTTAATGAAATGTTCGTCGATCCCGGTTATATCTTTAACTATCTTCCTCTCGAATACTCAGTCGAGGAGTATATCCAATTCATCGAGGGTAGTTATTAATAACGAGACGCGTTCATTAATAAAACTTACTACCGAGTCAATATAGAACACGCGCCGTATATTTACTTGATAGTAGCAATAAAATCAAGATGAAAACGATTGAGATTGATAACCTCAACACAAGCGGTTTATCGGTTTAATCAATATAATTAATTCCCCTTGGCTTACTAACCATGAGACGCATGCATTAGCAACCCAAGTTTACTACCGTGAAAGGACCGAGTTAATAACAAGCGTATTAATCGACCGATTCTAGTATTAATCAATATATGAAACAAAGCTAGTTGATCCTTTAAGTATTGCTCAAAATATTAATATGTAATAGGAATAGGAAATAATTAATACTCAAGGAAGAAGATCAAAGAAAATAACTCACAACTTACAATTCGTTAAGCTTCAAAGTAGCAAAACCAAGATGGAAGAGTTTAGCTCCTCATTTGGAGACTAAACATGATAAAAATATAAAGAAAGAACTTGTCTAAACTGAGCTTAGAAGTATATAGGAATTGGTGCTTTTATGGGAAGGAAATGGGGTGTATTTATAGGCTTTTGGGAGCTGCAGGGCTGTGTACCCGATCGGGTATATAGGATACCCGATCGGGTATCTTAGGAAATTGCCCAGAAACTGAAAAATAGGGTCATACCCGATCGGGTCTGTCGGTCACCCGATCGGGTATGACAATCGAACATGGCCAAAATCTTTCCCGCATGTTGCTCGGTTCCCGGGTTGATCCGATTTGATTTTTTAGAAGGGTACCCGATCGGGTATAGGTCATACCCGACCGGGTACAGACCAAAAACGAAATCTCCACTTTTTGTCTTGCATTTTTGCACTTTCCTTCCACTTGTGGTGTTCACCAATGGTCCCCAAAGTGTTCTTGGACCTGTTTGAGCTCAGAATAAACCTAATCTAAACATATTACAAATATTTTACAAACTAAACTATTACACCAAAAGTGTGTAATTTCCGAAGTAACATTCACTCTAAACTAATTAAAAACACAAATTTACACATGGAAATTACATGAGAAATTAAAAGCCGTCAGATCATCGGCCTACGTGTTCTCTTTCCTTGAGACTCATTGGATGGTACATCCGTCGACCGTCAAATCAATCAAACCGTCATGATTTTGAGTCTTTGACAATGGCAAGGTTGACATTATTTTTGGACTCTTTGCTCCATATACACGATTAATATGATTCATAATAAAAAAAGATGTTACTTACCTGAAATAATTTCACCCTTAACTCTTTGACCATGGTGAGACTCGTAATGAGCTCTTCACATTCGACTTTGGTACTTGCGGTTTTGGAATCACAATGAGTTGTTCGTGAAATATTGTCCCCTTGCGGAGATTTTTGAAGGATTTTTTATTTGAGTAGAACTTACAAAGAAATTACGTGACTAGGATCGGGAAGACAACACTTGAGGAATTGCATTTAATAATAATTACTGTTTATTTAATAAATTAATATAATATAACGATGTTTCATTCAATTTTTATATGCATCTAGTTTCTTCACAATTTTACGTTAATTTGTTTAATTCAATTGATTCCAAATTAAAAAAACCAACACATATTGTAACTACTATATAATATATATTTTAACTAATATTAGTTAAATTGTAACTACTAAATAATATATTGTGTATAGTATACAATATATAATTAAGTATACTACTATAATATGAGGAAAAAATTCCACTTTTGGTCCCGTGACTATTATACCATTTCCACATTTCGTCCCTGACTATCAATTTGTCTACATTCAGTCCGCGACCATCTTCCCCTCACCACCCGTGGTCCTTCCAGTCAAAACTGCGGCTGAATTTAATTAAGCCACTTAAGGGGGGAGGGGGTAGTTGAGTCATTTAATATCATATAAACTCATGGCACCTAACTCCCTCCCTCCCTCTTCATCACCCATAACATAAGAACTAACCAGGTCCAAAAAATTGGAAGTTCATTGAACCTTAATCCCTAATTCTTTGAAGAATGTCTACTGCTAAATTTGCAAGTTTGAATTCCGGAGGTCAATACGAATATGGCGAGTGGATTCCAATCACCTATTGCGAATGTGACCAACAATTAAAGCTTTTGACAACATGGAAAGCAGAGAACAGTGGGAGAAGATTTTGGAAATGCATTGGAAGTCAGGTTAGGGTTGTTCGAGTTCAATTGTGGAATTTGTAAATGTTATTCCCCTTTAATTTTGAATACATGGTTGATAACAGGATGCTTACATTGTGTTGGTGCAGCCATGTAAAGGGTGTGGTATGATGGAGTGGTTTGATCCTCCAATGTGCAAGAGATCTCAAAAAATAATTTTGGGGCTGTTAAAAAAGATGAATGGGTATGAGGAAAAAATTCGTACATTGGAGATGAAGCTTGAAACATTAGAGGTTGAAGGGTTCAAACCAGAGAAGAAGAGGCAGGAATGTAGTGAATATAGTAGGGCACTGGTTTGCATTGTTGCGGTTCTTGTTGTATTTGTATCCATGTATATCAAAGCCACATAATGTGGTTGTAGTGTTTAGGTTCTGTAATGCTGGCTTTGTTTTATATTCACCCATGAGGTGTGATGGTGTTGTACTACCTGAATATTATGAGTATGATATTAATTTATTTAATTAATGTTTGGATTTCATAAATGTATTTCATTTTGGTGTTAAGTATGCGCAAAATACATGATAGCTTTGTGTTTGGATTCAGAATGATGACATCTTTTTGAGAGTATTCTGTATACACACACTAATATGACTATAAGACACTGTATATATACAACAGTATGAGAAAAAAGACATGATATATTTATGAAATTATTTAGTAGTCATATATAAACAACCATAGACTTCTTAATGTATATGACCTCAAGATATATACCATCTAACTAAAAAGACATATACACCACACCATACACAACCATTTAAACAACAAATATACCATTTTAAAAGCTTGATACAAAAACATGTGTTCATTAATATGTCAATATCAATCTGACAATACCATTACAATACCATGTGCAGTAATAGGACCATACACTACCATGTGCATTACTAGCACCATTCTCATAGGTTGTCCATTACAAAGAGCAAAAGATACTGCCAAATACATACGTGAATTACATTAAGCACTAGTCTAAGTCAATTGGGGCATCGTCATTCCCAAAGAAAACAGATTTGAATGTTGATTTTGATCGGGTGCCATAACATGGTCCTTTTTTAACTTGCAGCTTCTTTTGTTTGGGTTTAGCAGAACAGGGTGGTCCATAGCTTATCCTTATCCCATGCCTAGTTCTGTATTCAACCTCAGATTGCACCTCTTCAGTCTTTTCCTTACTTTCATCTACATTATGTTCTTCAATTACTTCTTCACTTGCTTCTGCACTTGGTTCTTCAATTGCAACTTCACTTTCTGTTTCAGTTGCTTCTTCACATCCTAGCTCAGCTTCTTGCCTATCTTCTATGACATCAGTGGTCACTTGGGTGGCTTGGGTGTCTTGTGTGAACACACCATCATCCTGTACACAAACTACAATTGGGACCTCACTTCCAAATGAGGACTCCTCTGCACATTGCTAGTTTACTTCTATGAGATTGGCCTCATCAAATGGTTGCACACCACTGACATTGCCATTCCCAGCACCATCATCAATATCATCAGTACCAGTCTCCCTTTTCTTGTTTTTTGAAGTTCTTTTTCTAGGCTGCATCTGTGTAACAAATAGATGAATCAAATAATGAACTCTGAAGCAACATAATAAAAAAGACCACACCAATGACTATAATCAACACTACTTACAAACTATAACTCAGAGAAATGAAAGAAAAAACAACACTAAGCCAGAAGAACAAGCAATATATAGTAGGAGTATACCAATTTGTCCTTGTTGTTTGGATCATTTGGGCATCTCCTAGCATTATGGCCTTGCTTCTTGCATTTAGAACAGTGCAACTTGATATATGTCCTTGCCACTTTGACCCCATCAGTGCTTAGATCCACTGCAGATTTCCTCCTCAACTTGGTAGGTCTTCCAGGTCTAGCAGTATACAAAGGTGGTAGAGGAGGCACTCTGTCAGTAAATGGCAACTCTTCTGGCCCAGCCATTGGCCTAATGGATCCCCCATATATTTTTAAATAAGTGTCCTTTGTATAACAAGGTTGCACATATGCATCTACTGGATCCCTTCCAAATTTAAGCCAAATTGCACAAACTGCATGCTTACAAGGGATCCCTGTTAAGTCCCAAATCCTACATGTGCACTGTCTTTTCTCCAAATTAACCCCATGTTGAGTACCAGACATACCTGTGATCTCAAATTCATTATCACCGCATTGAATTCCAATCAAACCTGCTGCCAATTTCTCAATACCTTCTAATTTTTTAACAATCCTAGGGCAAATGTTTGTAATCCACTTCTTGGCTTTTTCCCTACTAGTGAAAAGCTTTGTTAGAAGCAGCTTCCTAATGGTTTCTAGGCACACCAAAATAGCCTGTTGTCTAGCCTCTAAAATAACACTATTAAAGCACTCACATATGTTGTTAGTCAACGTATCAGTTTTAGAGTAACATGAGAAGTATGACTTGGACCATTCAGTTGGTTGCTTGTCTGCCAGCCATTCAAAACATTCAGCATCTATTTCTTTCATCTTTGTTAGACTAGCTTTGAATGCATTTACAGTGCATGCCCTTGCACAGTCCCACAAACAATCCTTGATTGCCTTCCCATTAAATCCAGTTGCCTTCATGTTGCCATGGAGATGTCTGACACAGAATCTGTGTTCAACTGTTGAGACCTTTCTGTTTGTCTGACATTATGGTGAAGAGGTGCTCATTGGATTGATTGATGTCAGCATCTGTCTTAACTTGCTTTAAGAACCAATACCAAGACTCTGTAGTTTCCCCCCTCCACAATGGCATATGCAAGAGGAAAGATGTTATTGTTTGCATCTATGCCTATTGCAACCAGTAGCTGGCCTCCACTATTGGTTTTCAAATGAGTTCCATCCACCCCCAATACAGGCCTGCAGTGTTTAAAACCTTCCTTGCATGCCTCCCAGCACATATACATCCTGAGAAATCTCTGTTGCCCATCACCTTCCAAATATTAACTTAACTTGACTGTACAAGAGCTCAGATGATTGGTCCTTCTTATTTCTGCCACATAGGACCATATTTTCTTGAATTTATCTTCCTCTCCACCTCTCAGTTTTCTTTTGGCCTTGCTCATAGCTCTGTAAGCTTGCCTTGTAGTCAAATGAAACCATTCATCGGTACAAACTTTCTGTCTAAACTCCTTAGTTTTCAAGTTTGAGTGACTTTTAATCTCTTGCAACCACTTTTTGGCAACTGATGTGAGTTTTCTCGCACTTAAAAAGATTGTAATATAGTGGTGTAAGTACGAGTATCGTCTCCACAGGGACGGACAAAAGGGAATCAAGAATTAATTAAATTCAGCGATAAAAAAGAAATAAAATAAATGCATCGTGCGAGATTGAATGGTATGAAAACTAAACTAATGCAAATGAACAATTAAATAAACGGGTTCTCTCTAATTAATGACGAAGGGAACAAGGATTGATTCCGGGGTAATCAGATTTCTGGCAGATCAGGCTTAATTACATGAAATTAATTTAATTGGGCCTAGCTAATCATTCTAAGTTCTTACCGCTCGCGGCGTAGAGTACAATAATTTAAGGGACCAGGCTGATCTCTCATGCGACAAGATCCTAAATTATTGCCAAGACGAGCGAGCTTACGGCTCCTTAATCGCTACTAATATCTTAGCGAACGATTAAGTGTGTGTGAAAGTGTCCTAGAATAAATTAGATCTCTCTTAACTTATTCTACAAGCAATTGTAATTCTAGCGGTCGTCTAGGTTACAAGAGATATCGGTTAAATTCTTCAAACACAAATTAAACGTCATTCATGCAATTAAACCATCAAGAATCTAGCCATACATCATGATCAACCCATTCATCAACCCCAAATCCCTAATTAAAACTACTCGCAATTCATAATTGAAGAATCAATAGAATTGGAATAAAAAGAATTAATTGTCATTAATTAAAAAGATGGAACTTACAAAGAATACCAAAAGATTGATGAACAAAGCTGAAAAGCTCTCTAAATTTCGTGCTAGGCACTCTCTCTAAGCCCCCCCTTGAAAACGGGGTTTACAGACTGTTTAAATAGGAAAAACGGAGCAATTCGGGCGAAATTAGGATTCCAGGGGCAACACACGGGGACAACGCACGGCGTGAGTTCCCCAGTGAGTCCAGAGCATCTCCGCGTAAAAAAAAATGGCACGCACAGCGTGCGTCCCCCTACGCACGGCCGTGCGTTGCTGGCAGTATCTTCCTTGCTTTCTCGCCTCAGACGCACGGCCGTGCGTTCCCCTACGCACGGCGTGCGTAACAATTCCGCATTTGAAAAAACTTTCTTCATGAAAGTTGTATATAATGAAGTCTTCTATCCACCACAACTTGCAAAATTGGATTTGGATCATCCAATCAAGAGATATGAACAAAACGGTGGAAGGTCGCATTCTGAAATCGCAACAGGGATCATCTGGCTTCATCGTCTGTTTTCACCTTCGTCCTCTCAGATTCTCGGAATGATGAATTCATATGATTTGTAGCCCTTGAAGTTGTCTTTCATATGAAACTTGAATCGTGTTCATTGGACATTTCTACAAAGATATATGCTTGAACGATTGACAGAAGGTCATCCTGATCGTCGTTTTCAAGCTTCATTCACCTTCCTTTGATCTCATAGCCAATCCTAGAGCTCTTTTGCCTTCAAATATTCATCGTGAACCCTTCGAAGACCTCCAAAACTATCAATCCACTCTCAAATGCATCTCGAATCATCTTGGTTGCTCCTCAAGCGTCGGTGCCGAACTCTAAATTCCTGATTTTGACTCCAAATGACACAAAACTCGAACCAACGCCTGGTAAACACAACTTGAGCTAAAATTGAGATTTGTAACATCTTAAAACTAGGAAAACCATCAAAATCCGACCCTAACACACATCAAATGCATGTCTAAATACAAACTTATCAGCAACCTTGGTTGAGTTGACCATCTTGTTGTGATACACCCAAGAACAACCATCATGTGTGGAATGGTACTATAGTATCCACCAAGAATGAGAATTGGGTACTTTTCTTAAGTTCATCTTCCAAGGACAACCCAAATGCTTGCACTCCACAACCACTCTTTCCTTATCATTCTTAACAAACTTCAGATCTTTACCCATCTTGAAAGCATGATTTTGCACAGCTTCCTTGAATTCTTCTTTGGTAGAAAAGGTCATACCCAACTTAAAGGTAGGATTTTTCATATTAGTCTTAGCACAAAATCTTGTGCATTTCTCACCATCAAAATCTGAGTTGTATGGAACCATCATCAGACAAATTGGGGTCAGGGTCTACCTTTGGTGCTTCCCTTTCAGTCTCCTCTCCTTCACTATTGTTGTGTACTCCTCCATATTCAGCTGTGGGATCCGTGTTGTTGGCAAAATCAACATCATCCTTAGTGATGAAGTCCTCCAAATCAGAGTCATTATCATTCCCAGAAAATTGTTTTAGCTCTTTGTCACTACACACAAAATCACTATCATCAGAGTC